ACAAGAATTACAGAATACAGGGTAACAAACATGAGAGAGATAATATGGGAATGTCCAGGTTCAGTTCCTAGGGACTGTTGTGTGTTTTCAACAGCTTTATCCAACAGGCAGGAAAATAAACCAAAAAAAACAGAAGCTATACATACAACAAGGTCTTAATTCCTGCATTGTAATTTAATGGCACTGAGTCTCAGCAGCTGCACACTATTTCTTTTCAATAATTTCTCAAATTAATTCTATGATCACCTTAAGGGAGGCAAGCTGCATCAGTGGCAGTTCAGATGGGATATTAAGGAAAGCTTCACTGAGGGGGTGTGTGGTCATTGGAACAGGATCCCCAGGGAAGTGGACATGGCACCAAGCCTGACTGAGCTCAAGAAGTGTCTGGACAATGCTCTTGAGTCATATGATTTAGTGGTAGGGAGTCCTGCAAGGAGCAGAGAGCTGAACTTTAAGATCCTTTCCAACTTGAGACATTCTATGATTCTAAATAGTAAAACTGCAGTTATGTGTTCAAGCAGTAAGCTGAACACTAACAAAAACTAAAGGACTTTAGGTCTATAGTTCAAGTGCCTACAGAGTCAAAAAAAACCAACTCTCTCCACAAAACTTAGAATTGTCCTTTAACAAGTATTTTAGATTTCTCCTCTAAGTCAGGAAGTGAAATAAGCAACATCTGACCTTAACCTAATAGAACAGACCACAAAAAACTGAATATGAACCTCCACAGTTACCTGTCTCAACAAGCACAGCTTTTCAGGTCAAATGTCTTTCTGATGAGAAAAGTTTACATATTTTGCTGCCCTGTTTAAAAGTGACTTTTCAAAAAGTCAAAACAACCCTTAAATTAATGCCTTTGATTTGAAGGCTAATTGGACAAACAGAATTAAACAGTTCATGTTGTTCTGAGCAACTATTTACAGGTACAGAAAAATAGCAGCTTTACTGTCATAAACAAACCAGCATGGCTGAAGTCTCAAGCAGAGCACAGTTTACTAAATAAGCCTTTAAACCAAATTCAAAACTCACTTATTTTTAAACTACTCTATTAACTGTTGCAGTAGCACTACTACATGTAAAGGAAAGATATTTTGGAAGAGCTACACACTGAATTCCACTGAAAAAGTCTTGTCACTGATCATCTGCAGATTACTACAATCTTTGTTCAAGGTTTAACTTAGTTACATCTACTGTGGAAAAAAGATACCACATTATGTTCCCTCAGCACAGGCACATTATTTACATTGGTAATAAACACTATTAAACTTTAAAAAACACAGCACTGTATAAAAGCTTCTAACACCTCACTCTACTCCTGTTCTATTGCAGTGAGGCACAGTAAACAAGTCCCAAGAGAAAATACAGCAAATAAGTACAAGACAGCTCAGTTCAGCCTAAAACAAGTCAGCCATTTCTCTTTTTTTGCCTTAGACATCACCATTAATGCCAAATAAATGCATGCTGGTAGAATATCAGTATCATGATCATAATTTCTACCACATTATCTTGAGTGTCAAAATCACAACAAGTAGTTAACCTCCATGTACTAAGAGCCATTTAACACAAACCCACTTTCACATGAATGAGAAATCAATTCAAGAGGATCTGCTGAATTTACAGACAAACCTACAACAATATATTTACAACACCAATATCAAAGGAGATTAAGTTGTGGCACAAATGGGAAGTACAAGTGGTTTCAGTTGTCAGAAAGGCAATTTTTCTTAACATGTTTACATTCTGTAACATCACTGTGGCAGGTTATTCTTTTACCCCTGATGTTCCCACATTACCCTGCTGTTGGTATCTCGTGGGCTTTGCACTGAAAGCTTTTAGAAGTATTTGTAATGTCACCACTTTCTGTGGTGGTTACACAGGTTTCCTCAAACAAGCAAACAAACAAACCCTTCTGAAAGCAGCCATTAAAAGCTACACATTTATAAAGCCTATTTCCTTGTCTAACAGTGGAAACATTTAGCACTGAGCAAAACAGAACCAAACTTCATATTTCTTGCAGCATGTTTAACTTCATATAAACTTTCCCACCAATCAAAATCAAATAGAATTCTGTAAACACATGGAATGGGGCCTTACTCAAATACAGAATCTCTTCTGTATGAGATCCTTCACTTCAAACCTTTTCTACACACACAGGTATAAAGACAACAAATATTCCTGCTCTTTTTAACACTTATTAAGGGATTTGCAGGAAAAGACTGACATTGTTACTGAAGAAGTTTTAAAGGTTCTTCACAAGAGGAAGCAAAACATTTAAAGATGTGTCAGCCAGACAAATGTTACTTTCATAAGAGCTATACAAGCCACTACAAAGAGTTCTCAAAATTAATAAGAAAATTTGCTTTCACATGCATTTGCTTTCACTTTGTAAACGTAATACTGAAGGTGTTTTCATATTTATTAAAATTAGCATAAATGAAAAACCTGTTAATCCACCCACAATATCAATGCAATATCAGTACTGGAGAGACTTCACAACATGTTAATCAGTTTGCTCAACACATCTCCCCATCATCATTATGGGGGAACAATTCTAAGTTGCATGGAAAGATTTTTAAATCTTCAAGCACGCAGACAAGTTCAAGCTGCATGTAAGAGATAACACTAAAATGAGAGTGAATAATTATCAGAGATTACAAGTGAAAGCAGAAGACAATTATTAATATCTTTTCTGAACAACTGATATTCTGGAAAAATAATCCCATATAAATTAAGTTAGCATAATGAAAAAGAACAGCTAATACAAGAAAAATAGGGCAAACACTGAAATGATACTCATCCTTCAGTGGCTGTGATAATGGACAGTTGAAACATCTTAAGCAAAGGAACAGCACCTGGATGAAATGGGCATGCACATCTTCCACAACCACTTGGGCTGGTCTGCAGCACATCAAGGACCAGCTGGGTTAGGATTTTTATCTTGGCACCAGTCATGCAAGACCCAGACACAGACACTGCCCCAAGGGATGCAGCACTCACGTGTCACATTCTCTTTCCAGCACAGTCCCAGAGCTGGGGGCCTGTGCTGGGAACCTGGGGCAGGTCTAACACACAGCAGAGCTCAGCAGGATCTCAGCTCCTGCCTTTCCAAATCAAAGTTACTGCTGGAAGCAGTGAAACCAAGTTTGTGCAGCACTAGCACTACCCCATCTAAAAAAGACTTACTGGTCCTAAAGGAAATACTGATTTCAGATAAATACTTTACCACAGCTGCAGACAAAGAACTACTTCATAGAACTACCCAGTTTCACTCAGCATGACCATCCTGTTAAACTTCTCTCTCTGAGAGAGATGGGGAGATGATGGGCTGGAAAATGAAGCCAAAGTAGGGAGAAAGACAGAAGACTTCAATTCTAGACTCATGAGCTTTTCAGTCTTCTGTACAGGGTAAGTTATGCACCCAAATTTAGTGAAAGACACATATTACTTATTCACATCATATACAATCAGAATAATCCACAGTATTATCCTAAAAGTTACTATCAGATGATGATAATGTGGTTCAAAACTTATGGTGGCACTACAGAGCTTTGGTACCTCAAATGTGGCACACTAAATGCCAGAGGCTTTTTCTCCTAAAAGCTGAAGGTCATACACTTTCAAACCCAGTATTTAGGAATGAGTCTCATATGTATTTTAGTTTCAGGAACTGCAATTTTACAGGCAACAAAACTCTTGAAATTATCGCTCAGAAATAGCTGTACTATGAAAGTCATTTTTATATAAAAAAAGAGACTAAAACAACTTTGTTTTTACTATGTCATTCTGACAGATGCACATTGCTGACTACTATAAGCTTTCAAAACTTTCCTATCATTAATCTAGGTTTGGCAGAGTAACCAAACCAAGCATTTTAATATTCTCTGCAACAGCTACACAAAAGAACTTTATAAAGTTATCCATGACTGCCTATAAAATCTAGGCAAATTAACTGGCAAGTGAACATTAATAAAGCATCTGTAAATGCTTAAGTCATGAAAGCTTAACGTTTTCTTCTTGGCTAGGATGTGCTTCTTTCCATGTTCTTCCTTGAACCCAGCCACATCACCCCATTTGGGCAAAGAACCCTCTCTTGACACAAATCTAATGAGCCCTGGAGCTCAAGCGGCAGCAGTAAACAGGAAGGTGAGATCCAAGCTTGATGGAAGGTGCACAGGAAGGTATAATTACAGAGGAAAACTGCTACTTCATCTACAGTATTAAATAATTGAGAAGTGAGCTGTCACTCTGGTACCAACTACCAATGTGCACATGATTTACCTATGTCAAAACCTAAATTCTCAGGTTTCCTTGTGATTGCTGTGTAATACTCTAGCTCAACATCATCTTAACTTAAGGACTGGCAAAGTGCTATTAAGTGGTCACAGCTCCTCACTGATGTTCCTATTATTGCTCAGTACCCAAAGCAGCCTGCACATGACTTGGTGTGTCTGGGAATCACAAGACATCCTTAGTTTTATTATCATACATTATTCTCAGTGAAAATTACGCCTCAACAGACATCCACTGAATAACTACAAGCACATTAATGACATCTTCCAAAGCATGTGGACTTGTGTTAAGGCTTCCCTTTGTCTCTCTCCAGACTCTGAAGCACTACATTTGAAGTTTCACTGTTTGCACTATCACACTTCAAATAGTATTTATATAGAACACAGTACAGACACATCCTATTTGTCTCAGCTAAAAAAGCAAACAGACTATGTCTAACATGTCATTACAGAAAAAAAAAAAAAAAACAACAGTCTTTTTTCTTCCATAGAGAGCAGGAATTTAACCAATTTGTATTCCAATTTAAATGCCCACACATTATCCACTGCTACTGAGTCTTTTGTCTGGTGAGCCACAGACAGTTAGAAAGAAAAAATGTTGCATGAACTACCTGCTTTCAACAGATCAAAATACTATGTACTCCTTGGCCTAAAATATTATGGAAAACAAAGAAATATTCTACAAGGAAAGAAACCCAAGCAAGTGTTTACCAGTTAGTAGTATCTTCTTGCAGTCTTAACAGAGAACTCCCTTCTTCAGATTATTGATGCAGCAGCTCGTCCTCACAATCTGAAAGAGCAGAAGAACCCCATTAAACATAAACAATACATGGTATTTCAATCACATAAACCAGTGCCAGGGGTAAATCAAAGTTAATCCTGCAGTGCCAAGGAACCTACATAATCCTTTAGGAATGCAAATGAGACATGCAGAATTCAAAAACACTTGGTGATTTTATGGAATTGACATTACAAGCAAACAGAGAAGCATCCTTACAACCTATTCTGTGAGTCAGTAAGGCTATTAGCTAGCCATGATCACAGGCATCAGAAATAGAGCATTGCAGCTCAGCATTACCAAGTTACATATAGTTACAGCACAAAAAATAGAGCATTACATCTCTGCATTACGGAGCCCAGTTACACATAATTGCAGCAGAAAAAAGTAGGTCTCAGTTCAAGCTTTATTTACAGTGCCACATACATTGCACACAGGGAAAAGCACTTCATTGCTGTGGTTTTGATCAGTTAAAGAAAAATGCCACCAATAGAAGTTTTTACCTATCTGGACTTCTCTAGGGTTACTAGGATTTTCTGCTTCAAAATTAAGCTTCTGGTTAAGAAAAATCAGTATTTGTATGATCAGACAAAACAGCATTCCCTATGGAAATGCAGCACTAAGATGCAACTGCAAGCACTTGGAGGGTATTTCAGCTCATTTGGAGTAGATTTATATAGCAAGCAGCCTACCTTTTTTAGTACAGTAACTGGGTGATGAACTGCCCAGAACTGATAGCTTTCTGTTGTGGCAAAAGGTTCATAAGTCTTTTCCCTTTGGGGTTTTGTAGGCTGCTTCTCTTTCAAGGATTTCAGCTAATTTAAATACTTAAGTGTTTAAGTACTTAAGTGCTGTCACTTAAACTGTATCCAGTAAAACCACTGCTGCTTCTCCTTCAGGTATTCCTGGCACTAGAATCCTTCTTTTTAGTATCTTACATCTCGAAGTTTCTTTTAAAGAGTCATCTTCCCATTTTGTCCTCCAATTCTCTTTCTGCTTCTTAAAGCCAAGTCAAGCATATTCTGCAACACGTCTGTTTTTAGCACAAACTTACTTTAGAAATATAAAATCCCTGTCATGTCATTTCAAATCCAGCTGAAGAGGCATGAAATATTCAGCGTTAATTTGTATTTAATCAGCTATCAGCAGTTCCTCTTACATGAGGTAATCCTGATTAATGGCCATTTAACAAAAATATGTTGCTTTGCAGTTAAAATATATAATCACAAACACCATAACATTACTGATTTCCCCAGCTTGGGAATGGTGGAGGGAAGAGTTATAAAGTATCGAGGCTGGGGAATGATTTTAGTCACAGTGAAAACTACCATCAAAAGATGCTCCCCATTGCCTCCTGCCCTCTCTGCAAAGGAAAAACCTGCAAGCTGAGGAGCACAGCTAGGAGAAAAGGCCCTAAGGACTCTGAGATACTATGACAAACAAAACCAAGGGAATCCTATTCACAGCTACATTGAAGCAAATAATTGCAACAAACAGCTGAAAAGCAAAACCAAAAAGAGAGTAATATTAACTAATGATAACCTTTGCCAATTTGTGTCAAGGCAGTACCTAAGATAAGCAACTGCCTGTCAAGTTAATGTGTTGGTGTTTGTTTTTTTCTTCCTGCAAATGCTGTAAGAAGCACTATTTCTCTTTCTTGCAGAAGGGGAAATCTAAACAACACCCAAAACACATTCACTCCATTAATGCATAGGCTTTGTTTAAACCATTGTTCCACCACCCAATTCAGTCTCCTTCATTCATGGACCTCTTGCCAGACAACTGTATAGGTTAACAATTATCTTATAAACTGAATGGAAGCTGTAAGATCCTTTCATTCAATCTGCCTGGCAAGAGCACAGCAGAGCAGTTCTATCACTGCCTACAGTCCATAACAGAATTGAAAGTCTTGCTGCCTGACCATTTAAGAAACTTAACAAGTTCCTTCAATACACTCAATCAAAAACACTTCCTTCTACCCTGCTACACTGCAGTATGAAAAGCTTCTTATTCACTATCAAAAATGGATTTTTTTTCAAGCATGATTGATCATTTCATTAAACAGGAAAATTGTTATATTTCTGCTGTTCTACTGTCAGGACAGACAGCATCACTTTGACAAATTCGAATGGTTAAATCTCCTTGTAACTACTGAAATCACAAGCAGGATTTTGGTTTACTGAAAAGAATACCTAAGCTTACTGGAGACCCTTCTGCCCTCTCCAGTGCTGCTCCCACTCCTGGCTGCTCAGCATTTCCTGTGCCGTAGTTCCTCCTCCCTGCCAAGCCCATTCCTGCAGCCTGGCTTCAGGAGAAAGGGAAGCCAGAGCCAGCAGCAACGGCTGTGGGGCAGTTCCGGATGGGAGAGTCCCACCTGGCAGGACTGCTACATGCTCCAGCGCATTGAAGAGATGATGGAAACATCCAGAAAAGCACTGGAAGCACATCCTTTGCCAGCACAGGGCAAAGAATTAAGCCTGGTGTGATAGCAGGAACTGGAGAGGAAGGAGGCTGCTGCACAGGAGCACTGCACACAGCAAGGACAAGGCTGCTGAAGGGGGAGCACACACAGAAAAGCTGCAGAAAACGTGGCCCCTTTGGAAGATCTCCACAGCTTTCAAGGCAACAACTCCTTATATATGATCTAGATGAATCCCATTCAGTCCACAGAAACTGTCAAGAGAGATTTATTTTTCTTTTTAAATAACACATCCCCAAACTGTAACCCACAGTATAAATAGTATAGCTGAGAAAAATCAAGTTAGCTGCCATCTTAGTTTACAGACAAGATTTGTTCACAAACTCATTTTCTTTACTTCAACAGACCTTTGTGGAGTAAATTAACACTGTTTCTTTGACAGGCTAATGAGAAGAGCAGGTGAACAACAAAAGAGTAAGCTCATTCGCAGGAGATATCCTTGCCTGCCCTCCACACACTGTGCTGGCATAGCTTTGCAGGATGATGAATTCAAACGAAGGAAGCAGACAATAAACCTACTTGTTCCTGCTAAATTAGGGAGACTTCACCTCTTGATGTAAGCGACCATCCCTTACTTCATTAGTTTTGTCACTTAAGGGGAAGGTGGAATTAGCAGAGCACTTGATTAAATCTTGTTCTCCATACAAAATTCATGCTCAAGAAGACCATTAACCATAAAGATGCAAAAAGCCTTCTGTGAATGGCACAGTGTTTGCTTTTCCCTGGGTACATGTTTCAACAGGCAGAGCCACAGAAAGTGCTTCTCAAGCCTCCAAGTTTCACACTCATTTGAGCTACAAGGAAGAAAACTTCTGAGAAATTTATTAATGGCTACGTCCTCAGGAGCAAAGGGTAAAGCCACTAACACAGGGCTTAGCTGGTTTTACTGAGGGATTCAGGGCACTCCATCCAAGACAGTTTGCTGAAATACTGAGGCAAAACAGGCAGTTATTGTCAGATACAGCAGTGTCCACACAGAGCTTCAAGTTAAATAATTTTGCAGTCTTTGCCACCATTAAAGCAAGACTGAGGCTTACAGCCCGTGTAAGGCCCATGCCAGAACTGGCTACATGTCTTCACAAGCAGCTCACAGGAATGACTCAGGGCTGAGGTGCAGAGGTCAGTCTGTCCTTGAATTCTGCCCAAACCTTCAACCCAACAGCCCACACTCCAGGTCTCTGCCTTGCTCCAGTCAGACAATCACGCCCCAAGGACACTACTAAGTGACCATCTGGGGTGGCCTGAGATGCCATTTCATTTCCTCTTTATTTGGTAACCTACACAGAATCTTCAAAAGCCCAGACAAACACAGATTTCACAACTTAACATGCAGGCTATTTCAGCTCAAAAGCTTTTTCTGAATTCCATTTAGGAGTGACTCCACCTAGCCTGTATACCTAACACTGTTGTATAGATATGAACCACATTTAAAAATCATATAACACACATCATCTTTGCCTGCACTTGATTTTGCTTAGTCCAAAATACAGAAAGCACAAGAAAGACAGCAATGTGGATTTAAGGTGATGTATCCTCCCTAACACAGATCACAACAGACTGCTAGACACAACAACCCATCCTAAGATACATCTGAAATGCTGCATATACAAAATGAGCTGAAGAAAAAAATAAGTCATAAAGATCCATAAAGATAACTAAGTGTCAGAAGGCTTATGGCTTACAAACCTTTATGGTGTCAGACTAAGACAGCACACACATTGAGCAGTCAAAATAACCCCTGCAGAGCTTCTGGCAGGTCACTCTTCATAGTAAATAGCTATGCAAAAAAGAGGCAGAAAGCAACAAAACCAGCGTCCCCTAAAAACAGGAAAACATAAAAATACCAGAACTCACTAATAAGTCCACAGCAAGAAAACTTGAGAATTTCATATCCTGCTAAAATTATACAGGCTACTTTTTTCCCTTATGAATATTTTGCCAAAACTTTAATTTTCAGTTGAAAGAGGAAATTCTCCTGTGATTTGAGGAATTGGTAGTCTGAGAACTATTCAAAAAACCCCAGTTATTCACTTCTGCACAGCTGAGAAAGTAAGCTGTCATTCCTTTTATTTCCAGGACAGAAATGAAACCAAGTGTTTAAGATCAAATAACTACACTAAAACTCAGTAGTTTGAGCTTCAACTGTACATCATGCAGTTAATAACACTGACGCAAAGACACATTCCAAGGTTAAAACTATTTGCCTCCAGAAACCTGCAGCTCTGCTTCCATGTAACACTGGAGAACTCTAGTGACACCATTTTCAACAGCTAAGTATTCCTTTTTTTCATTCATCAGAACAGCATGAGTTACAGGACTTAAGTGTGACAGTCCTTACAGGTTTGAGCTGCAAAACCACTAACTATGGTTAAAAATGTACCTCTAGTATTTATTCATGTACTGGAAGCTAATTTTGTGAGTAAATTAGGATCACCCAGTTAACTAAGTCCTAGAGATGGAAGACACACATAACCTTCCCTTGTCCTATGGCAAACATTTGGCAGAGGTTTAAAGTATTATCAGCCCAACACAA